ATAAAAAGCAAAAAAATTCCACTACTATAAACCACCTGCTCACCCTCCTCCCTGCAGACTTGTCTAATAAAAAAGTGTCATTAACAGCGCCAGTCAGCGGAGGATTGAAATGAAGTTATATACAGCAGAGAAGTTGGAACGCGGTGGCGCTATTAGCAGAGGCAGGCAAATGAGCAGCCATTAGAGAGCACAACAACAAGTAAACAACACGCAAAACAAGCCGCAAGCAAGCGAAGCAGTAAGAGTGAGCAAGTAGAAGCGACTTGATAGACGCCGTTGCCGCCACACGGCGTATAATCAACCATTTTTGATACAACCACCCACACATACATACAAATACTTAACTTTTACACGAAAAGTTTACACGATAGCGCGGTCGCCTCGAGTTGTTGGCTTGTAAATCAAGGCGTATATGTGACAAAAGCCGAAACACGAAGAGCAAACGCCAAACGGTCGTTAGTGGTTAGGCGATTAGAAGGACTAATACAACAACAAAAAAAAAACAAGCTTACTACTATGAAACGTGTCGCACCCAAAATGCAGCACCGACACCACCAATCACACACCTAACCCATTCGACGATGCAACAAATTCATTAATTATAATTAAAATGTGGCGACGACAAAGCCGCAGCAAAGAACGAAAGTCAAGCAGCAGCAAGTGAAGCGTAGCTTACAAGGTATGTGCAATAAAAATGATAATTAAAATAAATAAAATAGGAAATACCGTTAACTTCGGTTGCACCGCTGCTATAGTACCCTTAACACATGCAAAAGTTTTCACATACAAAGACTTGAGTTTGTTTGGTTAGCTTGTGTGACAGCTATATGCTATAGTAGTCCGATCTGAACAATACGTTCGGCAATTGTAACGTTGCTTTGCAAAATAATAATTCGTGCAAAATTTCATGAAGATATCTTGTAAAATAAGCATATTTTCCATACAAGGATTTGACTTTGATCGGTCAGTTTGTATGGCAACTATGTGCTATAGTCGTCCGATCTGAACAATACATTCAGATATTGTAGTGCTGTCTGAACCAATAATCTGCGCCAAATTTCGTGAAGATAGCTTGCGAAATAAAAAGATTTTCATACAAGAACTTGATTTTTATCGGTCTGATTGTATGGCAGCTATATGCTATAGTGCTCCGATATAGGTGATACCGACAAATAATTAACTTCTTCGTCGCGCTGATCATTTATATATCTACTTTATGCGGTCTCTGTTGTATGCTTCTGGGTGTTGCAAACTTTGCGGCACACGTATAATAAGTTCAGCGTATAAAAATAAATAAATTAGACGTAATAGAGATCGGTGACATTTAAGCATTTCGCTTGTACTGCGGCGGTGTCGAATGCCACGCTAGCGTTGGCGTTAGGAAATCCCTTGGTCTCCTGGCTTATTCCCAAAATCATTAGTTTGGCTAAAGTATACGGATAAATAAAAATATACTTAAAGCGCCGAATCCAAGAACTTTTGAAGGTAAAAATGGCAAACATGGCGTATGAGTAACACTTTAAGGAGCTACAAAGACATTTCGACAGCGTGCTGTTTGCACTTAAAATAAAAAGAAGATGAACGCGATGCGAAAGCAAATTAAAGACATAAGAGGAAGAGCGCACATTTAAACCACATAAAATTGGCGAAAGCAACGAGGAGTTGATAAAATATTGCAAGTAATTAAAATGTGTCTGCATGGCGGCGGTAATTGATGTCGGTATTTTGTAATAAGTAACAAAGCCATGGAAGAAGTAAGCAAACGCTAGCGGTGGCTGTAAATGTTGCTTTACACCAGAGCAGCAGCAGGATTAAGTAAAGTAATACAAAAATAAATGAAAATTAAGAAAAGAACACAAAAAATTTGCGCATTTACAAACAAACATATAAAAATACATATTTGCAAGCAACCTGCTCTTACTCTCTCTTTCTCTCTCTCTCTCTCTACCAGTCAATAATTGTATAGCACAAAATTTGGTAGGAGTTTTCTACTATATGGAATTTTTTGTGTTGCCTAAAAGCAGAGTAATGACCACTTATATGTTGTTGGTGCTCATATTTCACAGGCCGAAAATCGACCAGCAAATATAAGAAATAAAAAGAAAAACCGCACAACTTAGTGACATAAAAGCAACCAACTGTGAATGCTACAACAAAAACATATTAAAGGCCCCAACGTATAGGCACAAACAAATACTTAGTGGTATTATTTGGGTAAAGGGTGTTTAAATAAATAGCAGGCACGAAGAAATGCAAGAAATGAACGACGAAAAAATTGTGCTAGGCTGGTATGCAGTAGAAAATGTAGCTAAATGTGGTGAAAAAAAAACATAGAAATTTACTCGGCTAAAATATACACAAAAACAACAACAATAAAATAAATAAACCAAGCCGAAGTAATATTTGAATTAAATGCAAGAAAGTAGAGTCGGAGTTAATTATTTTATTTGCACCACCCAGCGCAGTAAATGACCCTGTGGGTAGTTTGCTTGCGCGAAAATAAGTAAGTTGGCCAAAAATGTTGCAAGTAAGGAATATACAAAAGACTTATACTATTGTATATTCTCGGTGCAAAAAAAAAGTTGAAAAAATGTTATTTGGTATGTTTTTTATATTGCTATATATTTTACTATGCGAAAATTAAGCAACATAATAACAGTATTGTCTGCTTTAGCAGTTTCTGCTAATTTTCTGTGCGATTAAATTTATATACAGTTGTTGAAGTTCGTTTTCGAAGAGTGAAATTGAAGAAAAAGTACTATGATGTTATGAAGAAAATCGTAATACATACATACATACGTATGTATGTTTAGGTATTGCAAGTTATTAAAAAGTTTTCTGAATATATAAAAATTCTTAAAATATGGATAAAAATATGTATGTATTTTAAGTGATATTGTAAATGCTATTTCATCAAAGAAAGCGTATTTTTTTAACGAAAATATGAATTTTGAAATTAAAAATTGTTTGCAAAAGTTGTTTTTCGTCGAAAGGACGTATTCAGTCAATTTCATCAAAAAATGTTTTTTTTCCAACAGAAAGGTTTTTGGAGCTAGGAGTTTTTGGAAAGATTTTAAAAAAATTTTGCAACAGTTTCGTGTTTTTCGTCGAAAAGACGTATTCAGTCAATTTCATCGAAAAAATGGTTTTTTCCAACAGAAAGGTTTTTTCGAGCTAGGATTTTTTGGAAAGATTTTAAAAAAATTTTGCAACAGTTTCGTGTTTTTCGTCGAAAGGACGTATTCAGTCAATTTCATCGAAAAAATGGTTTTTTCCAAAGAAGGCTATAAGGTTTTTTCAAAAATGTTTAAAAAAAAATTCAACAATGTCATATTTTTTGTCGATAAGACGTTTGTTTAGTTTTTGCAGAAATTTTGATATTTTTTAAAATGATTTTGATTGATATTGAAAAGACTTTTGTTTAAAACAGACTTGACCTTACAAAATCTGCTATGTTTTAGATGTACGAGTATCATGTATAGATTAGGCACTGTTGGAAATATTAAAACAAACGAAATCCGCAGACAATAAACAAAGTTTCATCCGGTATTTCTTATATAATAATGTTTATATACTATAAACTAAAAAGTCGGCTCACTTTTTTTTTTTGCAAATTCAGAAAACAGAAGCTTTCAGCAACTTCATACATAAGCAAACCTTGGATCGATTAGAATACAATATAAATTTGCATTGCGTTGTGCTCTAAATATTTATGAATCGCATTAAAACTGGATTTCAAACTAATTAGTGCAATAATAAATAATGAGATTAAGTATATAGCTTTTGAATTGCTAATTTTCGACTTCTTGAAAACTATTGATGATTTGCTTATTTAAAAAAAATGCTGAAATACGCTTCCAAATTAACGCTTTTGAAGTAATAAAATATTACTTTAACTGCTAAAAATTACCAATAACAGAATTTACGAAAATTTAAAAAAAAAATTGAATATTTGAATGAAAAACTAATAATGCGCTCAATACTGTAAAAAAAACCTACAAAAAAAATTCGAAAAAAAAATTTTAAAAATGTCAACCAATTAAAGTAATAAGAAATCGTATGACAAAACAATACAAATGAAAGGCAGAAACTTATAATAAATATAAACAGAATTTAAAAAAAAAGATACCAGAAATTCAGTTAAGACCAAATATTTTTAGAAAAACAAATGAAATGCACATCTAGCGTGGGTAAATACTGCAAAAAATTTGAAATTTATAATTTTTTTTTTCAAAATATTTTGAAATTGAAAATATAGGCATAAATTGAATAAATAATTTTCTATCAAAATACCGTTATCACGGTTAATTATGAACGGTTAAAGCGCAAACTACAGAAAAAAATAATATTATACTTGTATTTAGACAAATATAATGCTTGAAACAACATCTAATCTAATTTGGCTCAGATTGAGATCCAAATATTGTTCCAAGAATAATACCATACTTAAGCGATCATAACCATTAAAATACCAACTGATCAAATTTGACGCGGACTGACCAAAATTATATGGTATAACCGAATATTTTTCCAAAAATAATACTTCGAAAGTCGTAAAATTTGAACTGTCAACTGGTCAAATTTGATGCGGACTGACAAAAATTAGATGGTATAACCGATCATTTTACCAAAATAAATAACAAACACAATAACAGCGTCAACGCACTGCTTGCGTATTAATTAACAATAAATTTTCATTGCGAAAAATATCAAATCTTGCTTTGTCAGTCAAGCAGAAATTCAATTAACAACAATTCAACACAATGCCATCAATTACAAGCATACAATTACTTTCTGCCACCGAATTTAAGTGCATTTCATTTGTATTTTTTATATTTTTGTAACTTTTGTCTATGAATTTTCATTAATTTTTCACAAACTTTACTTTCATTGCATTAAAAATGCAATAAAAATAGTTTTTTTTTTTGGTTTTGAACAATAACCAAAACTTTCACAAATATACAATATATGTAAGTATGTAGTTATGTATGCATATTCACCTCGATCACTGTAGAAATCAAAACCGCCCTCCAGACCGATGCAATCAACAAAATTTGTCGCTGTTGTTGTTGTCGTCGTCACCGATGAGCTATCACTATTACTATGATGATTATAATGATTACTACTGTTATTGTTGTTGCTATTATTATTGTTGTTGCCGCCGCCATTCGTATAAATATTATTGAAATATACATTAGTGTTATTGACAATGCCACCAACACTGCTGCTGCCGTTTTGCAGTTGATGTGGTCCAACGGGATAATCCATGAGTGAGGCAGGTGGTGTTGGCTGATAACAATATAAATCCATTTAGGTTGTGTATTTGCCTTTATGGGGCGTAGGTAGTTGGTTGGTTGTTGTTGTTGTTGTTTTTACTTCAAGTACTTTTGTTGGGTGAGGTTGCGCGTTGGTTTACTTGGTTGCTTTTAAGCGGCATAAATTAAAATTATTAATATCTTTTTTGTTGAAAATAAATGCGTTTCAAGAATTCATTTTAAGGCAATGTTTTGTAATGTTGTTGTTGTCATGTGCAGGTAGTCTACAAGGAGAAAATTTGCGCGCAGGTTTTATTTTATTTTTCCTTAATTTTTTTTTGTTTTACTTTACTTTGTTTTTATTTTTCTTTAATTTTTTTAGTTTTTTTAATTATTTCTTAATTTGTTTAATTATTTCTTAATTTTTTTTTTAATTATTTCCTAATTTTTCTAATTATACTTCAAGTTTTTTAGTTTTTTTAATTTTTTTAATGTTCTTTTATTATATTAAATTCTCCTTTAATTTATTTTTAATTTTACTTAATTTTTATTTTTTTAATTTGCCTGTAATTATTTTAATTTTACTATATTTTTTTTTTTAATTTGCCTGCAATTGTTTTAATTTTAACTTTTTATATACATATATTTAATTTTCCTTTAATTTTTTTAATTTCTCTTTAATTTTTTTTTTTATTTAAATTAAATCTTTTTATTTTTGCTTTTCAGCATTTATTTTGTATAAGATTTAAAAGTGATTTTGACTTTCTTAAGCGATTTTTTATATACTCTTTTAGCTCTTTTGTCTGCTTCAGCTTACTTCTTTGTTAAAGCTGCCATCAAATCGTGCTCCGCCTAAGCGCCTTAATGCGGCAAATACTTTTATTTTTCTGACTTTTTTGTTTTTGCCATGCGAAATATTTGCTTTTTTATGATTATTTTTATTGTTGTTGCTGTTATTGTATGTCTGCCGCAGTTGCGTATACGCATACCAATGAGTCCGTGGGGAGACACGCAGTTAAGCGTGCATCAGCAGACGCAATCGAGCACAAGAACTATTTCTTTATTCTCTTTTTCTTCCTCACCAGCAACTTTTCTGCGCACTGACTGTGTGTGATTTTCTTGACTTTCTTCCGAACTCACTTGCTGCATTACTGTGCCAGACAGCCGCCAACTCGCGTTTCAACTAAGCACAGCTCAATTGCGCTCAGCAGCTGACTTTTTATTTGCTATTTTGTTCTGACGTTTCGTTTTTATTATCCTGTTGTGGTACAGACCTTGAGCAGACAGTTACACGCAGCAGTGTTGTCGTTCAGAATGTAACAAGAAAAAAATGCGAAAAAAAATTTGATAAAATGCCAGACACACCTTCGGGATAGCGACGTTTGACGCGTGTGGGTGTTTGCTGCTGTAGCTAACTGTGTTTGCTGCTGTATCTAACGCTTGCTGCTATCAGATAACTTTTATATAAGTTTCCGACGCCACTGGCGTTAGCGTCGCTGAAGAAGCTGAGTTCGAATTGCAATTCTTTATAATATAATTTATTGGTTGGGCACTTGCTAGACTTTAATGACGGCTGCTGAGTAGTAGTTAGTCAGCCATTTGCTACGTGCTGCGCGCTGATCCTTAATGCGCGACAAGGCGAAAAGTCAAGCCCAATACGTGTGGCGGCTGCTAAGAAGCGTTTATTTGTTGTTTTTGTTTTACTGCACCGACTCGTTGCTTTATTTTCTATGCCGCTGCTCTTTTTCTTAGCAATCGGTCACTTTAACCCTGCTTCTTTTCTATTCTGCGTCGCCTACTTTCTCCATACATTTGTTCTCAGCTAGCTGGCTTGGTTATTATTTTCTTAATTTGAATTATTGTTGTTAATTTGCACTTTTTAGCAAAACTTGTAGCAGCCTTTCACTCAAAGTAAAACGTTTCTGCTGTTTTATGCTCTTTTTCTGCCTTCTAATTTTTACGACTTGGACGTTGTAGTTGTTCTTGTGTGCTTTGTTTGCAGCTACGTAGTATTTATGCTGTTGGCGTATTTTTAAACACATGAGCACACATGTTTAGCGACACAGCGCTTTTGGGCAGCGAAATTTTACAATTGTGCAAAAACTATTGAAATTTTAGAGTTTTTAAACTTTTTTTAATTTTGTAAACAGTTTTGTTTACTATTTTTTTTAATTTTGTACCAATAAAATTTTTCGAAATTTTTTTTTCAAAATTTTTTATTTTCAGTTTTTTTCGAAATTTTTTGTTTTTCGATTTTTTTTCGAAATTTTCTAAAGTGTAATATTTTTAAAAATTTTAAAAACTTGCACCAAAATATTATTTATTTAATAATTTATTAATTTTGCTTTGAATTACTTTTATTTATTATTTTTATTACTTTAATTTATTATCTTTATCATTATTTTGTTATTTTATTGATGCCCAGCAACACAATTTAATTTTAAAAATTCCACAAAATTTTTATTATTATTTTTTTTTTTTTTGTTAAACCCTCTTTTTAATTACATACTCTATATCTTGCTAAACGCTGTTCAAACAAGCAAAACTGCACTTTTCCCACGCCCTAAACGCTTGCAAGCGCGCCAGCTACTTGCATTTGCTTATTAGACACACACACACATTTTCCTTAGCAGGCGCACGAGTGCACACACACACACAAATCACTAAATTCTTTATTTTTTTACCTCGAAGTTGCACTTTTGTGTTAAAAATTTGCAAAAATAATTGAACTACCAACAACACTAAGCTGTTGTTGTTTTTGCTAAAAATTGCACTTGTTTGCCTTACGATTTTCGCATTCACTGGTTAACACGTTTTTCTTGTAGTAGTTGTAATTGTTGTTATTTTAGTTGTAATTGTTGTTGTTGCTGTTACAGCATGCACTTTAATGCAAGCAAAATCACGTCCAATCTGCGCGCGTCCCGTCAGCAACTACCGAAAATTGCTAAATATTTACAATCAACACGACGACCGGCCGCTAACGAACACGCGTTTTCACAATTACTAGTTGCACTTTTGAATTTCTCAGCACTCTGTTATGCTGCTAGTTAGAATATATTTATATATGTATATATAAACATATATAAAAAATTTTAAGTTATAGGTACTTTGTAATATCAATAAAATATACTTTTTTCAGATACTTCTTCGCAGGTTTACGTATGCAAAAATATATTTATGAATATACATATGTATATTAATTTTTGCTTGTTCTCCACTTTCATAAAACACTATAAAATACAACAAGCCACTATTTGATGTTTTCTTTCACTTGTTTCTAAGTTGTATTATATACACATGTATGCATGTATGTATGTATTTATTTGTAGTGTTATAGCACTGAGTAGACGAGTAGAAGAGTTTCTTTCTATGTTTTGTTTTTTGCGCTATTGCGTTGAAAAGCGTTCTCGCCTCTGCCTCTACGCTGTCGTTAGTAGTATATGTTCGTATATCAACCGAATTGTACACCGCCAGCGTTGAAGTCCAAACAAATACTGAAATCAATGAAAGCGATTTCGAGCAGACAACAGCAGACGCGCACAGACGATACACAGCAGGCAAAACAGCGCAAATGCGCTGCTATAGCAAGTATTCACCACAGTAACTGGCGCTCAGGCGTACTCACACATATGCATATACATATATGTGTGCATATGCACACCAATACATATATATATACACAAATTTATATTGTATGTATGTACATATGTGTAAACGCACACCCTTGACTTTTTATGCGCTCAGTTGTGTTGTTTCGTGCTGCTTTTCTCGTCAGTCGGTCGCAGGCAAGTCAACACATTTGTTTATTTTCTTTGCAGCGCCAGTACGACTTTTTCACCACCACCAGCACAACACTAGCACTTTCTTGCACATATACACATTGCATTTTGCATGCGCTTCATCACCACTTGCTAGCCATATTTACTTTGCTTACTTGCTCTGCCATGAACTGCTAGTGTATGGAGTTGCTCATTGTTGATTGCACCTTTTCGTCGTTTTGCCAACTCTCTCTCTCTCTCTCTCTTTAGTATCTCATTTATTGTTTGTTCTCGCATTTTATACTACACGTTGTCTTTAACTTACACCTCTTACCTTTTGGCAAGTGTGACAGTCGCTCAAAGTAGTGTTACGATATTTCAACACATTGTAGTTTTAGTGCACGCTTAAAGTGTGTTGAATAACTGAGAAGAAATAATTATTATATGGTAACGTTGATGGTATCACTTCGTTAGGTAAAGCAAAGGGTGCTGCTGTAGTGTCATAGTTATTGCGCTCATCATGCTTAGTAAGATCAGCTCACGTTCATATTAAAAAGTCCGAAGCGAAAAGTCAACATCATCACATCTTGTAGACAAATGCTGCTAATTTCAAAGAATAAATCACCTCAGCTCACATTACAGCATTTCATAGTGAAACCTCTTTAAAAGTAAGCACAATAAAAATGGTTTATGGCACTTTTAATATCACATCACATCATCACATCAATAGAACTTTTACTTACAGCATTTAACAGTTATGATGATACCATCAGAACTTCTATATCCCATCACATCATTGAAAGTAAATTTTTAATAATAAACAAAATTCGCCCGGCTTCACTAAACATTGATGATACCATCACGTTTTCTATATCACATCACGTCACATCATTGTAAACTATTGAATTCCATCACAGCATTATATTGAATGTGACATCATTACAGTTGAATGTCACATTAGATCATTGAAGGTAAATTTTAATCATAAATGAAATTCGCCAAATATTACATGAATTCAACTTACTACATTTTAGTGATAAAATTGTATCTCCCAATTCATCTCTTCATGACATCAAATGGTATGCCAACAAATAGTTAGATTTTAGATCAAAAATCAAATGCACATCACATTCATCATAGCAAGTATTGTAAATACTTTTTACAATTTTTTAAACTATAATAATGTGTTTAATAATAAATAAGATCATCATATCATATTAAATTAACTAACCAATTACATCATATTACCACTATTATTAATGTCACATCATCTTAGCACACAAATACTTTTTACCAAATTTTTAAAATAAGGTAAGGTGCTTAATAACAAATCAGATAATTATCTTATCACAACATCAATGTCACATCACATCATAGCAAGTTCAAAAATCAAATTTTTAGAAATTTTTTAACTAAAATAAAATGTTGAATAATGTAATCGACTGCATCATGTTTTAATTATATCAAAACATATTAAATAAACTAATAATTACATCACATCTTAACATTTGTATATCACATCGCATCAAACCACAGTGAAACGATAGGTGATTGTTCAGTAATATTAAATATAATTATTATTCACTCAATATCACTGTTTTATATACATGCATCCATATTTTCAA